TGCCGTGATGAAAATACATTATGTCATGGCTTGTCTCAAATGAATGAATTTAAATTTTTTGTAAATAATTCTAAACATTTACATCTGTACATTTTAATCTTGACATACCTGTTCACTGTGCTAAAAACGTAGACATGTTTAGTAGATCTTGGATGTTGACTTTGCTAAAACAGAATTGGAGTTCTATAAATTTCATGACTTTTGAGGACTAAATACTCTGACAACCTATATGTAATTATAAAGATCTTCATCGTGTGTAGTCAGATATGACTTTTTTTTAGTTTGAAGCTACAAAGTAGGCCAGGAAAATAGTGGGGACTGTCATGTAGATTTATATTGATTTCAGATAGACTTTCTCAGTATCTGCTTGATATTTATAAAGTATCATTGTTTGCAGTTTGTACACTAATTGAACATTTAAAGTCTACAGTTAATACACAAAGTTCAAATGAAATTAACCCATTTAATGTGGCTGAACTACCATTAGTTAGGTGGGACATATTAACCACACTGTCTAAAAATATTATTTTAAAATATCAATATATAAACAGATATCAAAGAGCAACTGAGAAATAACCTCTGTATGAAAATAAAATGTATTTTTAAATACATCTCTTTATCTGGTTTAAAATATTCTCTGTTCTTGAATTTATTTGCAAAGCTTATGCTTGCATTTTTCATGTCTGGAATATTAGAAGATGTCTAGTTAGATTTGGTAAATTCTAAATTCATGCTTTTATATTTAAATGTTTTGTAAAGAAGTAACACATGGATTAGCTATGTATAAAGAATATATGCACATGTAATTTGCAAAAATCTTGGAATCTTAAGATATATCTAAATTAGTAACATATTTGCAGACAAAAGAGGCACATACAAAGAAAGGCACTTTGTTTTCAAAAGAAAATGAGAATAGTTAAGAATCTCATGGCCACAAATACCTAGAATTTACTGGGCAAGGTCAACACTAATTGGTACTGTATGTCAAAGGAAGGAATCCTCTCTGAATACAGACTGAGCACAAACACTATTGGCACCTTAGTGGGCAACACCCTCTTCAACTAGGAGCTTCATTGGTTTAATCCCTTACACTTGTTTTTTTCTGCCAGCTTTAAATTTAAGAGGCCCACAAGATTGACTTTTTTATATTCAATTTTCTAATCTCTGATTTCTTCTAGGTATTGTTTTCTACATTTTTCCACATGTTCTCGCTATTAGTCCCATTCTTTATAGTCCATACCTATCATATAGATACCTATCATGTAAGATACGTATATCTTCAGATGTACCTTGTGGTATGTCTTGTCATTAAACCTGTAATGACGTTACGTGTGCATGTAAATTACATTGCACACATCAACATTAAGGACACTTAGTCTGCATTAAGGACACAAGTGCTGCAATGTAAAGAAATATGTTAATAACTGGGTAAAAATCTAAATACACAGTATTCTTATTCATTCAAAGTATAAAAATGTTGTTAGTCATTATGTGGTTTCTCAAAGCTCAGAAGGTTAATAATTTTAATTACATTAACTTCTACTGCGTATTTAAAGGAGGCTGAGTTGATTAAATTGGACAGTACTACTTCTTCATAGGAAATGTCAAGAGATTTAAGACAAAATATTATCATCCTAAGCAAATGTAGTGACAATTGTAAAAAATGTATAATACATCCTAGTTTAGAATGCTATGTACACCAAGTTAAAGCTAATGGAATAGTTGCTACTTCACTAGGAAGACCTAATATTTTACCCAAATGTGTGGTCAAAGAAGTACTGTAGCCTGGGAGAGTAATTTTCACCCAAGGGCAAAATCTGCAATTAGTTTCCAAGCACATAGTTCTTCTAAATTATCCCCAGTAATTTAGGCCTTGTGTGGAACAAATACCAGAAGTGACAGTGGTCCACAAGGAACCAGGGCTAGGAGCACTCATCTCGCTTGCTGAATACAAACACTTAAATCTCTGTCCTGGATTGCACCCTCAGATTTGTGTTAACCAAACCAGGTAGCAGTATTTCTCTAACTTCTTTTTGTATTTCCTTTGCTGCTGCTGAATTTAACCAGGTATTTTGAAATGCAAAACATAGATCCAGCATTTACAGAATGGTCATGAAATGATATGAAATGTGTACTACAAAAATAAATTACAGTTAATTGTACCTGGTATCGAACGTTGCAGAAATAAGTTCTTTAATTTTAGTTTTCCACAAAATTTTACCAAAACAAAAGACTTATTTTGTGCTGGGCACACAAATGACAATTCAAATTCTAAGTAAAGTGAATTATTGGTTATAAAATAGTAACTCTTATTAAAAATCATTATGAATACAGAACATTGTTGCCCACCCTTTTCGTGCAAGAGACTGCTCTGTATACTATTGTTTACAGCCCTAAGCTGGTCTTTGCACATGGACATTGCTTGTCCATTTGTTAGAATGTGTCAGTACAAGTGCCTCTCTTCATTTTACATGTGCAAGGCAATTTGCTGGTTTTATGAGCAGTCACTGAGCAAACTGACATTTGAGATTATATGGTGACTCAGCTGCTGTCTATAATAGCTTTTTTTGCTTACTGTTCAAATTAGCAGTTAGCATTTTTTAATAGACTAAACCATCTGTAAAAAATATGTTTTATAAAGCTAAGCAGAGTGTGATAAGATTAGGCCTAGTTTTTTAACAAACCCTGCAAGTGAGTTAGAGTCCTAAAGGTTGGAGTGGCTGAACATCATAGGTCATTTTAAATTGAATAGTCATGTAGGTTTTTGTTTGAATTACATTCTTAAATAAGACCGACCTTTTCAGTTCTTTTCAGTTTCTGTTATGTGTTTTTATGTCTGTCTTAGTGCAAAAACTATTAGCTATTATTTCTAAAGCTTGAAAAAGCTTATTTTCACCTAGATTTAAATACAAACTGAAAGTAAGATTAAACCTGATGTTTGTCGTGCAGGTTAAGCAAATGACCTTTTAGTACTGTTCTTATAATTAGAGCCCATATTACATCAGTATTGGCATTTTGGTAAACTGGCTCTGTTTGCTATAATTGAACTTGTAAAGATCCACAAGCTGCCTTATGCTTTAATGTATTTAAGACGCTGCTTATATTTTGAACTCCTGAACCTTCTACGTTTTGGCAAGGGGATCTGTTTTTCTAACAGTTTTTCAGGCACTTTTGCACTTTTTTTTACAGAACAGAATTTAGATTATTTAAACAGTTTTGCTCTTTAAATCCTCACTTTAAATAGCGAAAACGGACATGTTTATGATGATTCATTGTGTGTAGGAACTGTTTTTACTTTGTTCTTTTAAGTACAATTTTGGAAACTTCTTTGCTTATGTCATATATTGCGTATCTTTAAACATTTTATTGCTGTCACGCCAATAAAATGGAAAAAACAATAAGGAGTGCTGCTCAGGAGATGCACTGACCTCAGTGCCGCCTGTTATCCAGTTCACAAAATTTTAAAATCATGTGAAGTGCAAATGTCCAGGTCCACTGTGTGTCTACACTGGTTTCTGTAAAATGGAAATCCCTCCCAGAAAGGGGAGCAGATTCCTCACAGTACCGTGACACTCGTATGAAAGGCTGATTGCAATAATATGTTAATTTTCATTATCTTATTATTTTATTTGACTTATGCTTTTGTCCAATGTGACATACATTTGTATCTACGTATACTGAAGGGCAATGTTCTGAGTGAAGGGTTTGACAGCATTACCCCCACCTGAAAACTGTACCCATAACCTTCCACTCCTCTGCACTGTTGCATCTGCTTTTAAAAGCCCTGGGAATTTATTAAATCAATATCCTTTTACAGAAGTTCTTCAATCCATGCCAAACGTGTAATGAACTACACATGACTGGAGTGCAGTGGAGATGTAATCTCAATCCGTCCATCAATACTGTTTCAGGGTTGCAGGGGAGCCGGAGCCTGTCCCAACAATTTAATGGTGCAAGGCAGGATGCACTCTGGATGGGACACCAGTCCATCACAGAAATCAACATATATTACATTATTAAACATCCATTATTATTAAAAGTGCACATACAGTAGTTAGGTGTAGCATACTGTATGCAACGGTACAGTTTTTAGGTGTTGTTTTGGTGTGTTTGTATTTCTGTGTTTCAAACCTAATGAAACTTTAAGTTGCAAAGGCTAATGTTTTCTTAACAGAAGGGAGATGCATAATTAAATTTCTGCAGGGATAGAGCTCTTACTCTGTGCATCAGAAATTCACAAGGTGTCGGTTGTTGACCATTGACCATTTGTATGTATTTATTTAAAACTATAACTAATAAGAATATAATGGAATAAAAATTGATAATTTATAATAAAAGCATCAATATTTGTAAGAATAACAGCTGTTTAATTATATGTACGGTATTTAGTCTAACTTTTTAATGTATGATGACATAATATTAAGTTAAGTACAGAAGGTTTTAATAGTGAAGTTTGAAAATAAATTGTATTTATCATGCAACATAAACAGGAAAATAATCCACATTTCTTATTAGTTATTAGTTTATTATTACTACTATTTTAGTATTAGTATTACTTGCCACTTTAAGTTGTAAAATATTTATATTTCTCTAATCTAAAGTACGTTTTTTTCTTTCTGGTCGATAATATGGAGTGGTGAATGTTGAAACTATATTATCGTTAAACATGCAGAAAAATGATTTAGAAATAAATTCATGAATTGACAGCTTACATCACACTTGAGAATTGTGGTCGGTAATCATATTTGTTTCCTGATATAGTTTCTGTAGCATGAGTAGTTTTGAGAGAGTAAAGTCTTTGTTGAAAATAGTTGGTCACAAAAACTGCTTTTGTATTGTATCTGTATTGATTTTGTTTATTATTTGGCATTTGGGGTTGCTCTTCTTTTTTTTTTACCTTTTAAGAAGGAATTATGATCCTAGAGCAGCATTGAGTGAGAGTCTTGGGATATATTTTTTGCAAAGACTGCATACAAACCATAACAATTTTTTTTCTGCAGGCATCAGCTTTTACGAGTGAATTTTGAGTCACCACCCGTCTCTCCAAAGACCCCTTTGACCTCTGGCAAACTCAAGCAAGCAAATTCTAAGGGGCCTTCTGTTCCAAAGATGGAAGGTACAATTATGAGCTGTTTTTTCCAAAAAGGGAAGTCTTCCTCTCCTTCAGATGTGCCGAAACCACAAAATACCCATCAAGACGATAAAGTCAATGAAGATCGTTTCAACAGGACTGTAAAGGAAGAACCAGAAGAGTTGCCTACTATATCTAGTGCTTCTTACAGCCCGGAACTTCCATCTACTTCAACTGAAGTTAAACCTGTCATAAAAGGTGACATCCTTATCTCTACCTCTCTACCAAAAAGAAACAAGCAAATGCATCTATTAAACAGTTAGTCAACTTAAGTTTAGTTTGATATACATTTTTGGCTGCTTAGATCTGTGGATCAGATCATTTGTGCAATAATTGATGCTTTTCAACAATATGGTATTATGAGGTGATGATCAATTTGTGCGATGCACTGGGATGAAGTAAAGTAAAGTCAATCACGTATATAATATATTGTACATTTTTCTGTATTAAATGCCTAGGGACAGCTCACTCCCAGTTAGGTTTTGCTTATCTAAATTAACACCGTGAAGCCTAGGATCAGTTATAGTCGTGGTCTGTGAAACCCCTGCTTAAAGACCTGGTTTAAAGACCAAGTTATTAACTGGCTTGCTACACATTAAATGGCTTTTCTGATTGTTTCAGTAAATAATTCCTGAAATATAGAATCTTAATTTTATCTTTGTCTTTCCAGTGGAGTGTCCTGTGTGTGGTGTTGGTGTTTTAGGGCAGCACATTAATAAGCACTTGGACAGCTGCCTAACGAGGGATGAGAAAAAAGAGAGCTTGAGAAGGTAAGGAGGGTTTATGATTCTTATTTGTGCAAGTCATATTTTTTTCTTGAAAAAAAGGCAATGATTGCACAAATGTAGCAACCAGAACCTGTTGTTAGCATCTGATTTGTAATTTAGCATTATTAAATTACTCTCAACTTTGCTGTAATTTGAATTTCAGGTAACTATCATTAAATCTAAAAACTGGAACAAATCAGAAAACCTCTGTTTATATACAGAAATATTTCCAAGTTTCATTTCCAATTTCATTTTTATTACAGGAATGCTGGGACACATATACACAGGAGTTTGATATGATTAGCAAGGTTATGCTTTGGAGAAAAACTCAATCTTGTATAGTGATGAGCTGTTTGACATGGGAAGTTTTTTGACAGTAGTTTCTAATAGCAAAGTCTTGGTCTTTTTTGTAATTTAATTATGATTAACAGCTTCTCCCTTATATTAAATATTATGTAATATTCAATAGCTATGCTGCTATAACTCATACTGTATATATATAAGGAAAAAAATGTTAATCATAATTAAATTACAAAATAGTCTTTTGTATTTGAAAATTCAGTCTGTTTCCGTAAATAAGAAAAAGTGCCCTTTTTTGTCATATGGCAGAAACTTTAACATTATTTTGTGAGTTAATATTTCAAAAGATTTGTCTGATTAGTAAATAACCACAGGAGCAAGAACATTTTTACCAAGGGCTGAAAACAATCCCAAAAGGAAGCCTATGACTCACAGGGCTTTATCTCCAGCAAAGGCATATTAAGGTCAATGTTCCCTACTATGTAAAGGCAGCAAAACATGCATGGTTTCAGTTGTACATGGTCTGTAAAAAGACAGAGCACAATTCCCACATACTTAGCCAAATAATCTTATTTTCTTGAAAGGGGAGAATTTCAAAACCTTTAATGACCTGATGGAGCAGTGTTCTGTTCATATGCATTCCACATACTCGTGTAGTTGCAATCGCAGCCCAGTTCACTTATATTCCTTTATTAATTATTTTTAAAAACTGAAGAGCATGGCCAGTGCTTTGGACCCGTTGAATGAAAATTGTGTTTTCATTGAACCCTATGTATTCTTGTGTAAGTAGCCTCTGCACTTATCCATGCACATCTCTGCTTCAGGTTAGACAATGACAGTTCTTTTCTGGTTAGAGCAACTACTATGCAGAAATTAATATTGAGACACCCTGAAGTTGTCAAAGTTGTACAAGAATACTGTTGCTTTTGTGCATTTTAAATGGCTGTATAGTTTGTTTAAGAATGTTAGTGCGGCACATTATTGTACATTACTGAGCTACCCATTAATATGAAGCATTATGACAGAAAACAGACATCTTAAAAATAGACATTGTTCATTCCATTTTGTTATTATTGTGTTTAGATGTCCTGACAATGAACGAATTCTACATTACATAGTTTTCCTTGGCAGGCTTTTTCAAATTTGCAGCATGTGAAGTCAATGCAGTTGCTTAAGTCATAACTAGACCTACTCAGTTATTCTTGGGAACTTGACTTTTTAATACAAGAATCGCAATTGCCTTAGTAAATGTTTCCCCTTTTGCCTTGAACATCTTGATAAAAGTATCAGTAAAAAAAAGTTTCATTTGGAAATGAATATTATCTCTGAGGAACATAAAAATAATATGCTTGGCTTATAATTTACTTTTCCTGCATTGTATGTTTTTTTCTTAATTTCCTTTAAAAATGCATTTGCTACAGATATTGAATGATATTTTTGATATTTCAGGCAATGTTGTCATCCTCAGCAAAGTTCTACAGTATACAAGTTTTACTTTGCCAAATATGGCTTTACTCCTTTTTGCTGGTTTAGAGGCAGTAAAGGTAAAAATGACATTACTCGTAGTTCATACTGCGACAAATGCAGACTGCTTTGGTATTCAACAGCACTAGAGATCGATACCCTAAAGTACCACTGTATGCTTTTGTCAAAACTTAAAGATAACTTATGTCTGGGTCTTTGTGGGAAGTTTTACCCCCTACGCAGCTAGATCTAAGCTATAAACTTTGGTGAAAATGGAATGTAAGTTTGAATTTGGGCATTATTATTTAATCTATCTTCCAAAGCCAGCTTGGTAGAACAGTCTTGACATAAACACCAACATGAAGGAGCTTCTTTTGCTTGCAGAATTTGTCCTTGTAAACAATACTTTATTAAAGGCGCTCAATTTTGTTAACTCTGACTTGAAAGTGACTGCCCCCTGACTCCATAGTTGAACAATATATAAAGTAATGTGCTTTTATAACATTGAACAGTGTTGGCAAATAACTTGAAGCAATCCAGAACTTGAGATGTCTATGAAGAAAGCCTTGTAGAATTTGCCAACTCTCCTAGTTAGTATACAATACTTAAATTTGAAATTTAAATTTGAGATTTTATTGAGAATGTCCCCCATATAAAATGTTAAAGAAGTGGTCAGAATATACTGTATCTATAAGTCTCTGTGGAAGTCTTCATTAGAAAAAGGGTGGTTGTGAACTGTAATGTGCTACTCAATGTTTTAATCATTAATAGCCACTTTATGACGTGTAAAGTGTAAAAAAAAAATGACTTTGACATTTGTAGCTGGATACATGCTTAAATCAAATGTAGTAAAACACAGTGGTAACTAGTAAAATAAGCCATTAGAATTATAGAAAGGCACTTGTAAAGGCGAGGTTGCTACTATACTATATCCTGTTGATTTTTTTTCACATCTTTCAGTGATTTGTTAATCTTCAGAAGAATATAATGTTATTGTTTTTAAATATGTAATTACAGTATTTCTGATAGAATGACAGGCCTCCGGCTAAATAATACAGTCCTGTAAAATCTCAAATAGCTTAAATTTGTTCTTCAAAATGTTTCATCCTCATTGAAGAGAATGGATGTTAAGGTGCTCTGTGAACTTGAAAACAAGTATGCCACACTTACTTTACTTAGTAATGCTTATTTATTGATAAGCACCTACTCTTTTTCATGCTTCTGCTTTGTTTCTAAACTAAACTTCCTAGACTTCTTTTGGACATGAAAAGGACCATTGGCATGAACTTTGTGTCTTTTTGCAGCTCTGTTAGCAGAAGGAAGAATGTGGCAAAAGTGGTTTACGATCTCCTTTCTGAACGGGAATTGAAAAAGAGACTCAAGGACCTCAACCTTCCTACCTACGGTAGCCGGCAACAACTTATTAAAAGGCACCAGGAGTTTGTACACGTGTACAATGCCCAGTGTGACTCTTTAAATCCCAAATCAGGTATTTGCATGTGCTTTTTGTGTTGAGATGAAAAAGATCTTAAGACGGGACATTATTTTGTTTTGTAGAATTGTAGATCGAAAGATGAGAGGACACTGCACTTGAAGATAAAATATATCTATATATATTTTAACAGTAGTCATCTCTAAAAAAAATCCCATTGTGTTATGGCACGGTTTATCACTTTCATTTCAAAGCGACACTATAGCGCAGAATAGATCTGTCAAAAGTTTATACACCTTCAGTACTTTTTGTGTTTTTAATTTCCTGTTTTTTGGCCAGTTTCTTGAAGCTTGCCCTCCAGGGTTTAAATCTTAAAAACCAAAGCAAATGGGTTACGATTTACTCATTCTCTTCTGTCAGATCCTGTAGTGTATACCACATGAGAGCCCTTTTAAGCTGCTTTAGCATGCATAGGCACTAAAGTAAATTTGTGCAAGTTCCTGGAGTAATTCTTTGCAACTTAAGATGAAATAAACCTGCACTTGCTGAATACAATTAATTTCATTGCATCTTCTCTTTGCTCAGTTTTGATTATCCTCTGTTGTAGAACATTATTCAAATTTAGGTACTTTTTTAATGTAACTCTCTGAGCATTTTTAAGTGCATTTGGAAAATCAAAATGGATGTTGACAAATATTACACTCACCCATTTCAATACTAAAGATTTAAAGAATATTTTCTAAAATGAACTTTTACTTTCTAATAATTTCTACAGGAAATTACTTATATAATAATCAAATTATTTGAAATGATTTGCTTATAACATTTGTTATGAATAGGACTTTATGAAATGCTGTAAAACTGAACTTACAGTAAATCTCAGGAAGTGCCAATAACATCTACTTTTCAAACAGCATACAAAGGAATAATATAAATAATTCCTGTAAAAAGGAATATTAAAATATGATTTAAACCAGAGGAATTTTCCACAGAATCTATAGTTACCAAATGTAGAGTGACTTTCTCTTTATTAATCTGAGTTTATTTTTATTAGAATTATTTAGCTATTTATTATACTTATTATGTATGTTACTGACTCCTTTGCTGGTGTTTAATGAAGCAGTATTTAATTGGATTATTCACAAAAAGCATTTGCTATAAAAGTCCAATTTATGTCCAGTTTGGTCTAATTCTCTAATTTAAGGTATGCAAACCGATAGCTATAGTAAAAATGTTTATTTATTTGCTAACGTTCTCAAACAGTGTAGAGCTGATTTTTTGTGGTTGGAGAAAAAAGCTCCGTCCTTTATTTCTACAGCTATTATTGTCTGAGAATGCTTTGCAGTTACAATGAATCTCCATTGCTCTTTTCTCAAAGTTATTAAAGGACTGCAGACTTTGAAAACTAAAATAATAGATTATCAAGATGGCATGATTAATACTATTACACAGCATTTCATATTGGATTTAACAACTCATTACTTAGCCTATAAATCTGAAGAATATTAAACAATCCCAGAAATGTTCTATATATCACTATATCGTTCTAAACTGCCAGAGAATATTAATGGGAAGAAAAACCTGTCAAGCGTGTTATATTACATATGCTTATTATAGCTGTTTCAAACTGATTTTTGCGTTGTCTTTCTCTTTATTACCATGAATATTGATTTCTTCATTTATAAAGACACAGCAGATTCCTTTTGTGTCTACTTGCGTGGCCTTCAGTAATGTTTTCTCTCAGGCAGCAAGTTGCCTAAGGCAGACTCCCAACTTTTCCCATTGATAGGACTCAATATGTTCTTTATGCTTTATTTTTAACAAAAACCTCAGGAGAAATTCTCACGCATTGCGTTCTGCATGTCATTTTTAAATGTTTTTGTTGAAGTTCACTGGTTTTCCCATACCAACACTCACTTGTGTCCGAAAGGGGTGGCTGGCAGATGGACACCATTCTATTCCCTTGCTGTTGACACAAACAGCTTGTTCGTCATGACCTGTGGGAATGTATTCGTTTTTTACTATCCAGAGGAGGCTAGCTAACATTCAATTACCATTTCAAAATGTTCAGATGAGATGGCCTGTATTTTCCTGTTCTGGTTTATTTTTCTAGGATTGTATCCAGGTTTTTTCCACTTTTTATTTAACTCTTAAGTCTTAAAACATTTGTTTTAAGCCTATCTAGAACTTAAATATACACAGAATATAAAGAGATCACCTTGCAGTGCAAAGTGGTTTCTTTTAAATTGGTATACCTTCCTTTCAGGTATAAAAGCTGAAACATAACAGGGGTGTTTTGTGCTATTTTTGTCTTTGTAATAAGAACCCGTACCGCTGCATTTTATTAGCAGTGCTAGCTTTTGGCTAGGATTTAGTTAACAAATGATTTATTTGTTTTAAGAGCACTCAGTTTTAAGTTATGGATTTGCCATGCATCAACAGTGGTATTGCCACTTTAGAAAAACACCAAGATAATGATGTACCTTAATTATAAGCCTTAGTGTCTACTTTAAAGTGAAAATCAATACTTGATGTGCAACATTAGGACTGTATACTGTTAAAATGAAAATGGGTAGATGAAAACATTAAGCTGTTAGAATATTATTGCTTACTTATTCACAAATGTATTCACTATTGGCACTAAACTATGGAGTATTTAAAGAGAAGCTGAAGATTATGTTCATTGACCATTAATTGTAATCTATTTTTTAAATCTAATCTGGAAGAAATCCATACACTTCTTTATGTTGAAAATGCACACAGTAATTCAGTTAAGAATTGTTGTTGCATTGGATATGTGTGTCAGAATGCAGTGCAGCATAGTTTTTGAGCCATCTGCCTTAGCAGTGATCAAAGAAGAATACCTTTTGCTGTGTTGTGCTGCATTTCTGTTTTAAAAAGAAAACTTTTAGACTGTAGCTACACTTTTATTTTTTAATAAAGAACATTTACACATTCTCACAGTAACTAAAGATTTAGAAATGTACATAGTACTTATTTATATTACAAATATCACTCCACATTCTGAGGCTTTCGCTTCCAGCTTTTGTTCAAAAACATAAACAGCCTACATGCTGTAAATTAAAATTCAAACCCCATGTTTTATAGAGAGTTAAAGGATAGGATTGGAATTTTCTTTTTTTCTTCAAATGCTTGAAAAATATTTTGTGAGGAAAAAAATGGGTATATTTTGTTTTTTTAATGTTTTTCAAACGTCTAAATGTGTTTGTGGGAGAGACAAAGACTGTGAAGCTTCACAGAAAAGCTTGCAGAGCATGAACAAAGCTATTTGATACCCTAACAAGATATCTGGAACAATTAGCTTCTATTAGCAAAATGAGCTAGACATACCAAATGATGTGCCTTCTTTTTTAACCTTCTTACGTGGAGTTTTCACATTGGGCTTTTCTTTGTGAAGCATTCAACATTTTAGGGTGACTGATTGTGCCCAAACCTGTCAGCAATAAACTGTCCAGATCATATATATATATAGTATATGAACAGACTGTGATGTAAACTGAAAACTATTTTTTTCAGCACTAGCACCCTCACCTCCTCCCCACCGTCTGAGGAATTAAAATTTAAAAAATGAAGTTTAAGAAGCCCTTTTGTGTATTTGTATGAATGTTGAAGGGATATCATTTTGCTAACAGGTACTTCATGAATCTTAGTTTTACTTGCAGAAAAACCCGTCTACTAATGTTAATATCTCTATTTTTTTATTAATCTGAAACTGATTCTGAAATGTATTAATGCCACTATTTTAAGGACATTAATTTTACTCATTAAAGCTTTCTTTCAGTGATTGTGGCTACAATTACAATAACTAGTTATTAAAGATTAAAATTTTAGTGTAGCCCAGCATTATTCCATTACATATTTATTTGCAGTTGTTTTGAATAGTATTCATGACTTTGGATTATTTTTTTGCAGCACAAGAGATAGCAAAAGAAGTTGAAAGAAATGAGAAGCTGAAAACCCAGTTGGAGGGTAAATCTAAAAGTGTAAGTGTTTTTTTGTAATGTCTATGTAAGTGCTTTTCAATTTATTTTGCATAGTGTTTTTGTAAAAAAATAAAAATCCCATTGAATTAGCTTTTTTTTTACACTGCAATTAAATGTATTTTTTCACTAATCTTTAATATTTTTGCGAGATGTTACTCTATTCCTATATGAACATGATGTGATTAGCTTGATCTTTCAGCAGTTAAAAACCATAGCTTTGGTAGGTGCATTGCAGGGCACAAACACAGATGCACACTCACACCAGGGACAATTTTCACTGAGGTTGATTAACCTACGAGCATATCTGGACTGTGGCAGGAAACTGGAGCACCCAGAGGAAACCCACAAAAACCCAGGTAGTACATGCATCCTCCACACAGATAGCACCCTAGGAGCTGAACCCAGGTACCCAGTGCTGCAAGGAAAAACTGCTCCGTTAGGTGTTATTAAACCTAATTGCATTAATGATATGTGAATATACTCCCTGACCACAATGTTAAGAACCTGCATTGAATAAACTGTGGGGCCTCTCTGGGTGTTCCACAAACTTTTGGAAATATTTTCTATTCTGTTGCATCCCATTCCCCTCAGCATGAAACTGAAGTTGTGATGAGCGTAATAGTATATGTGACTGAACTGTGGATTTTCAATAGAATTTAAATCTTAAACCTGAGACGGTGATAGTCTTATGTTACTGTATGTCAACTGATTGTACATTGCCTGTCGCTGCCACAGAAGGTCTATTTATCTAACTGGGGCTATGTAATATTTTTGCCTACATTATTGAACAAAATAGGCTCTGGCTCCCCTGCAACCCTGTATTGGATAAAGGGTTTAGAAAGTGGATGGATGGATTATTGACCAGAAAATGAAAAATCAGCAATTAACATTAAATATGAGCCTTTATATTATGTGGAAGCTGAGCTATCATGCTTGTGATAGTTTATATAATAGCTTTTTAGACTGCATTCTGCAATATCAGTCTTCAGATCTTCTGTTAATGGGAGGTGCACTGATGTATTAATAGTCTATATAATTAATCCAATATAAGTAAACATGGCACTTCCAGCTATCGGAGGTTTGTATAGTTTAAATGCTAATTACCCATATTTAGTTTCATCTTATCCCAGAAAAAGCACTTTCTGAGGCTTTCTGAGACAAATTCCTCTTGCGCCACTGTGCATTGGAATGGCTCTGCTGTAAATAAAAATCAGCTTGAAAGCAACAACAGGATGGAGTTACGGGACTGGATGTACCCTTCCAATCAAATCACGTCCTGAAGTAGACAAACGTGCTGTTTTCCAGCTTTGTCCGCGGCAAGTTTTGTTTTTCTAGAGCATGTTTTTTTTAATACGGAATTGGAAGTGTGCTGGAGGAGGTGTTTTTTTTCTGCCCTCTTTTAAGCAAGCATTACATGTGATGATTATTTCAATGCTCCATCTGCTTCAACTCATGGGTTGAACATAGCACTACACTTAACAACTAAAGAAAGTGGATTGCTATTAATACATAATTTGCTTTTGTAATTGCCTTTTTGATCTGCGTTTTGTGTATATTCACATTACGGTGAGGACTCGTGTATTTTTCATCTTGTGTTTTCTGATTTTGAAGGGAATTGTGGTTTTAATTTTATAAAATAAGGAAAGTGACAGTTACCTCAGCAGGTATAAAAGCTATGTATTAATTTTAATGATGCCCTTATCCAGAGTCATACGTGATGTGATCTGTATAATATACTGAGCTTCAACAAAACTTACTGCAACAATATTATCATGAAAATGACCATTTTGTAGGAGGTACACTTTAAAGATCAGACATGACTTAAGTCCATTTTGCTGAATGATGTTTCTCATTAACAAGGGGTCTACAGTGAAAGGCAAAGGTTTGCAAGGTATATATGTTACTGCTTTGTTAGGATTTAGATTTTATGCAAAGTAAAAATATTTTTGTCTTTTTGTTTTCTTGTTTTTAGGTAATGGTGTTTTCAAAAAATCAAACTGAAGAAGAAATAGATGAATTACATTCCAAATATCGTAAGTTAGTGTTCAATTACATTATCTTTCTTAAAACAATTTGTGGACCATCATCTAGTTTTTGAAATTGTGGGATAAGGAGAGTCTCTGCTGTTGTAGAATCCTGAAGTGTTTTTATTTGAATAGCAACATTAAATGTCAAATTAATTGATATTAATTTTCTTTAGCACATAGGGATCTGAGGTTAAAGTGAATTGATTTTATCCCATTGGCAATAATGCATTTTTAAAACCTTCAATTACTTATTACTTTGCAACATGATGTTAAGTGGATTTGCAAATGTCTTATCTGTGTAAGATGTTGTGCATCCAATTTATATATATCAAATTGAATAGGGTGTCAGTTCTTTAACAGCTGTACTTTATGTAATATACTGCATCTACATTTGTACGCACATATTGACATTTTTTCTCGTCGCCCAAGATATTTTTTCACAGGATTGTGGGTACGGTACCATTTCAGGGGCAAATCAAGAATTCTTCAAAAACACTTTCACGCAGCACAAATTAGGTTATCCCTTTCATACAGACTGCTTTCTCAAAAGACACGCCAGTCAACAGGTCGGATAAAAAAATATCCGGTAATAAATAAAAGTATATAAAAGCAGGAAAAAAAACACCATTGCTCATTTCTGGGTGGGATTAAAGCTCCACTAAGGCTCATAGTAGCAGGGTCCTGTTATATTCTCTGCCAAATTTTAAAGCAACCTCAGTAATTTATTGGCATCAATCTCAATGACTTGTTGCATGATATTGGTGTCACATGCACCTTTTAGGGCAGATCCTGATTTAGAGATGTTCAAGTCATAATCTAGCAGATTATAGTTTTGCACCATTGGCTCCTTAGCCAAGCACAAACGCCCACTGTCTGAATAGGTGGTTCCTGTCATATGAAACAGTTTCACTTTGCAGGTGCGAAGGTATGTTTGTTCAGAGGCATGTGTAGGAACACTCCACTCTGAACACTCCACTGACATAATGTCAATATAGGGATGCATGTTATTTTGAATTGTGACTTGTTTGTAGTTTGGTGTTGTGTTAAATAAAATTAAGAATGATCAAATAATTTTATGTTACACTAATGGATGGAGTATTACATTAGGTTGCTCTGTACAAACTGTGGCATGTTTTGTCTTGTGATAGTTTTATGGCACAAGTTAAGCGCATGATCATCCCTGCGGGCAGCATGGCTATGGAAGGGACCTTCACACATAACGCTAGTCCAGACCGATGTTAATTCAAATGACTCCACCTATCTGGTCTCCTGGACCTCAGTCTAACCAAGCCTTGTAACTTGACACCCACACCGACAGACTTAAACCGAACACTAACTCTCAAAGAAAATTTCTAAAACTCTGAACTGACTTTCTTGTGTAAGTCTTAAGCACCTTTAACTATCCTACAGCCCACGATCACATTCAGTATTCTAACTAGTTAATCACCATGTGAAATACAGGTGAACTCCTATATAAACAATAGGTGGGTAATTGGAGATTAACCTGTCTTTAAGGGCAACTCTATGGCAGCCTCTTGTGGTGGCCTAATTGTCACTGCATCGCCCAACAAAGCAGCCTTTGTATGAAAAGGTTTTAGACTCCTTTTAAGATTGTTAATATCCCAAACAAAGTTATGAACAGCTATTAATAATAAATACACAGTTCAGTGAAATATGGGGGTGGAATGGGGTAAAAATGGCATTGTTTACACTTTTTAGGTTGTATTTACCCTTTACAGCATGACGATTAAGTTACCAAAGAAAGCCAGCTACATCCACAGCTGTTTCCTTGCAAACTCTTACGTGAGTTCAGGCTACACTTCCGGTTCTGCTTTTTAACTAGCATCACTGTTCATAAAGACCACCATTACAACTCTGTTCTGGTGTAGGAAGTTCACATGATGTACTATACCACTTAAATGTCAGCAGCCATATCACCCTGCAACTCACAACTGGCAACCCACTGAAGCTAAGCAGGTGTCAGCCTGGTCAGTACCTGGATGGGAGACCTCCTGGGAAAAACTAAGGTTACTGCTGGAAGAGGTGTAAGTGGGGCCAGCAGGGGGCGCTCACCCTGCGGTCCATGTGGGTCCTAATGCCCCAGTATAGTGACGGGGACACTATACTGTAAACAGGCGCCGTCCTTCAGATGAGACGTAAAACCGAGGTCCTGACTCTCTGTGGTCATTAAAAATCCCAGGGCGCTTCTCGAAAAAGAGTAGGGGTGTAACCCCAGTGTCCTGGCCAAATTTCCAATTGGCCCTTACCAATCATGGCCTCCTAATAATCCCCCTCTATGAATTGGCTACATTACTCTGCTCTCCTCCCCACTGATAGCTGATGTGTGGTGAGCGTTCTGGTGCACTATGGCTGCCGTCGCATCATCCAGGTGGATGCTGCACATTGGTGGTGGTGGAGGGGAGTCCCCATTACCTGTAAAGCGCTTCGAGTGGAGTGTCCAGAAAAGTGCTATATAAGTGTAAGCAATTATTAATTATTAATTATTAACAACTTTATATTGAACCATATAGTATAGTATTCCATATAAACAAGCAAAGTTAATTTGAGGTCTGCAACAGAGGCCAAAGTATTGGTGGATTACATAAAAGGGCCACAACACTTACAATGTTCTGTCTGGCTGCTTACACAGTAGCTGGGAGCTTATCCCTCTGAAAGATTTTCCATGTTAGAGGGGGAAATGCATGTTAAGGCATTTAATGAGTTCCTTTTTCCTTTGCAAAAGCACAGGATCCATTCTCGTTGTTTCTCCTGAGGCTTATGTATTTAAAGTATACAGCAAGTGGCATGATTGACTTCCAGTTGCGACAGCAAGTATTTTATTTGTAGTCAAGTATTGTAATGACCAACAGTATGAGAAGGACATGACCTAAAAAGTCTGCCGTTGTTTTTTTTACTAGCAGATGATAAAAGCGGTAACGTACAGATTTTACTTTGAAGGAAATTTAAAACATTAATCTAGAACCAGTATGTAGACCTATGAATAGAAAGCCGGCAGTGATAAATTCTTAATTAATCACTTGAGACCAATGAGTCACAGTTCTGCTCGTCATTATTCTAGTGATATAAACATTGCCTGCACTTAAAAAGAGAAGGCTGTAAAAATACCTGCCTCGGTCCTGGGGGATTATTTTTAGTACAGATATTGCTGTCATTACTTTTTAAATTGAGTTTTTAAGCAAAGTGAGACTGACAGTTTAAAAGTTAATGTTAAAATGTGAATGTATTTTAAGTATATCATGGGAAATGAAAAATGCTTCCAAATGCAGCCAAGTGTTATAGAAAATACACTAGTGCAATGTTTGTTCTGTTGCGTTCTTTTGATTTAAGTTAAGAATCATGTCCTTAGGGAGAAAAAAAAATCTTAATGACATTCTAGACATGGCTAGCGTAGTTCCTTAGTAAATATTTTCTGTGATTATATATATATTTTGTTTTTCCTAGGGAATTAAGGCTGATTGCACTCCTGTAAAAAGAAATTTCTTTCTTTTCAATACTGGAATCTAGACAGTATTTTTTCTGTTTCTTCTTTATGTTCTAAGTATAGAATTGTATGTATTCTATACTTATTTAAAATTAAAAACTTAGTAAAATTATTTTTCCCAAAACATTTAAATAATTTCAGTAAAATAATGTGACATTCAGATTTGTTCAGCAAAGATGGCCTGGATGAAACTGTCCTTAATTACTATAAAAGCTTGTATGTATCTTATTTGTATGTATCTTATTTGTTTCCAGTTTAATATTAAATTACATGTCTGTGATCACACAAAAACCCTCAAAAACAGCCTCTTATCCAGGATCTTTCCTCTTTGTTGTGGTTATTGTTTGAGAAGCTATCAAATCTGTTTAGATTGCACATCTGAACATTGCTATTCTCCATTTTTTTGACTGGTTGTGGTTTAAGTCTTTCAAACGAGATGCTTGAAGTGGAATTTGAAATGAAAATTTGGCTTTTAAAACAAAACACACAAAATGTCGTCTTAACCACCTTGACCTGCTGACAGTGTAGTATTGCAGAGGTTAGTCATGTTTAAAAAATGAATAAAATACTACTTCTGTTTTGTATCATATTCCTTTTCATGTGTTCAACATTATGCAGCTGTATTGCATAATGCATTGTTGCAGACAACTGACTTTGTTAGTTTGTTTTTATATTATTTTGTAGGTGTAGTTGTGGTATTTGTTCAAATCAAATCAAAGTTTATTTATCAAATGCACAACAATACAGCGTGCAGTAGTAGTTGCTGGCAATGAAATGTCTTTTGTGCGAGCTCACAAAAATCACAAGAATAACAAAAATCACAAAATTAAGGTTACGAAAATAAAGTTACATGATAATAGATAATAATGTAGTAGAAACTGAATAAAACTCAATATGAATAGAGCTGCTATGTGTCCATGGTGTATGCAATATATTATGTCCAAGTAGTGCAGTTATGCTGAATGCAATGAAAACTGTGCGTCCATGTAGCCATTATGAGTGATTTGCTAAAGGAGCTGCAGGTTGGCTGTTTAGCAGTCTTATTGCCTGGAGGTAGAAGCTGTTCTGTAATCTGGTGAACTTGCTTCGGTACCATTTACCACACGGTAGGTTACTTTCATGTTGAGATATCAGTTTATTACTGGAACGCCTGTGAATGCATATAGTATTTTTATTTTAAGCAGATCTCTCTCTAAGTTAAGGTTAACTTAATGTTCACTGGATAATACATTTCGTCTAATTCCTGGCAGAAACTTACATGCAGTTGCAAACTCCTTGTCCCTGCTGTGTTTTTAAGCGATACAAGCAAAAATACTGCCCTTGAAGTGGGTACTTTTCCAATAATGAAATATTTGTTCAGCCCTGGTCACTTCACACAACTTCTGTGCTATGCGCACTCTGTGCGCTGACGTATAAGCTTCTAGTTCCGTTGTCCCCTGGAAATTTTGTTGAATGGCTGTATTGTGAGAGGCAGGCACCATGATAGTGCAGTCGGTTATCACTG